ATGCCCTCCACAGATTGTTGTCCGATTGGGTAGCAAAATCCTCGACCAGACAGAGGTACAAAACTATATACGCACAAGGGTCAACTGTATACCAGTAGCTCCATTTCTGTAATATGTTTTGAACGATAAAAACTCAAGAACTGGGTAGTATATTACTCCAGTGACAGTTGGTTTATCAAATTTTTGGAACGATTGCGGTTTTATATTTAGCCGTATGTACAAATCGTTTTCAGTATTTATCCATGTCTGTGGCGTGTGTGTTAGAGCTGAATATACAAATTTCATGGGTGCATAAAGCGAATTCTTGCCTTGACTTGTTTGAGCGATAGCATAGAAAACGTTCGCATATACCTGCTGGCTTTGGATTCGTGGTGCACCGATTGGAAAATGTCCTTCTCAGCGGACAAATGTAGTGTGCTTAGATGCAAGTGCGAACTTTCGCAAAATGCACTTTACCTTGATGATAAACTAAACCCCTGCAGGAAGACTATACGTGATCTAAGTATCCGGTACTATAACACTCTGAATTTGGATGAGCAAGTTGAATTCATAACAGCCAGATTACGAAGAAATGCAAAACTCATCTCGATGCATGAACCTAAACTGTACTTGTTCAAGGTAGGCATTCGCCCTGTGCTCGAGTACTGCTCGCGTAGTTTTACAACCGGCAGGAAGCGCGATCGCGTGTGCCTAGGAAAGGTGCAGCGATCATTTCCAAAGGCCTTCTTTAACTCAGCGTCCAAGCTTAACTACTCCGAGTGTTGTAAGATGCCACAGTTCGAGTCACTGAGACTAAGACGCATGAAGCTAGGATAAGCATTCCCATTTGACTTGACCCATAGGCGTGTATTTGAAACAAATTAACCATTTATTTCAATAAATAAATATATATATATATATATATATATATATATATATATAAACACTTGATAAACAGTACAAATAGCAGAGTGCCACAACGTATGGACAAAGATAATACAACAACAATGAAAAATAGGGGGATAAAGAAGAAGTGTAGGGCAGCAGTTATGGAGCAGAGTCACACAACATATTAGCCACTGCTCACGGTTTCTTGACATATTCGATAGAGTTTCCAGCCATGTGTGCTCATGATCTTAGCGCCCCCCATTAAGGGAGGCGAGAGCGCCAGACCGCGGCCAAATGTGAGGTCAGCGCCTTCATACTTTTGGCCCAAGTCATTCGCTGGCCACCTTGTCTTTGCTTCCAGCCGATTTCTGTGCGCACAAAGGGTGCACGTCGACGCAAACGTTCAGTAGGCATGCGAAGCACGTGCGCAAGCTACTGAAGTCTGAGCAGAAAAAGTGCTGCTCAGTGGCCGGCGAAGTCTGTCTGATCTGAAAATCCTTCGGTGAGCATTCTCATTACTAATGTTGCCACCGTACAGCAGTAATGCTCCGAAGGCAGCGGTGGGCAAAGACAGCCAGCCCCTGAAGGTCCGTTTCACGAACAGGACAAGTCTCGCAAGCGCAAAGCAGGACCGCTCTCACCGTCGCATTGTAGACTCGACCATTCAAGGATAGACTCAAGTCGCGACGACACGAGAGACGGCGGAAATAAGCAAACACAACCCGGACTTTAGAGACGCGTAAAGAGGACTCATCCGTTAAACCGTTAGCGCTGATGCAGCCTCCCAGGTAGATGAGCTTCTCCACCACTTCCAGAGAGTAACCTGAAAAGTTTGGGGTCGGAGCAGCTCCTAGCCAGTCCTATACAAAGACCTTACACTTCGAGGTGGTAAAAGTCACTCCGTCTGTGAGGAATCATAAATTACGGCGATGTCGTCTGTATACCTCACATCCCGAAGTCGGTCCCCCGGAAGCACCTCAACGCCGCTGGGTCCGTAGTTCTCCAGAGCGAAATTGAACAGGAAGAGCGATGCTGGGTAGCCTTGTCTCTCGCCACTGGTGATACTAAGGGAGGGCGAATGTTCACCGTACAACCGCACTCAGGCCGAGATACGAGAGTAGATGGCTTGAAGAATGTTGACGTACTTAGCAAGCACTCCTCTTCGAAACAGATAGCTCCAAAGAACAGCCCGGTCAACTGAGTCAAACGCAGCTGGTATGTCTAAGAACACAGCGATTGTTGGCCGGCCGAACGGTTGAGGACGCTCGAGTAGTTGGCGGAGTGTAAAGATGTGGTCGATACAACTGCGATCAGAGCGGAACCCAGCTTGCTCTTCGCGGGTATTCTGTTCGCGCACCAGGCTGAGCCTCCTTAAAAGCAAGGCGGCGAGCACTTTAGATGCAATGCAGATGAGACTATCCCCTCTATGATTAGTACAGTTTCACCGGGCACTCTTTTGAATACGGGTAAGATACCCGCTAGATTCCAAGCCGACGGGATTGCCGCGGTGATCAAAACCACTTGGAGGAGGGAAGTCAATCCACGGACAAGTGATGGACCTCCGACTATGAAAAGAGCCGGAGGGAGTTCATTTGGGTCAGGGGCTTTGTAGCGCTTTAAGAGGTGAAGCTCATGGGCAACCTCAGCCTCAGACGGTAGTGTAGCGTCTACACATAAGGGAGCACTCTGGATTACTGAAGTGGAACACATTCGTGCTGCAGGCCAGTTAAACTGCTGCTCAAAATGTTCGGCCAAACGCGCAAGTCGGCGTTTTTGGCAGCAGATTGACTCGCCATTGATTTCGCATAAAACTTCGCTTACAGTCGGCCTTCTACCGCCAGTGGATAGGATCAGGTGGAGAAGCGTTCGGAAATTCCCCGAGCTGGCCGTCGGCTTTATTTCAACGATTCGTCGTCCATCAGGCCTCGCGATCCTCCCGGATGAGCTGTTTGAGTTCAGAGTTAGTGGTCTTGCGTAGTGCATGATAATGATGATAATAGCAAGGCTTTCGAGTAGGAACAACCTACTCAGGATGCCCAGGAAGCTCGAATGAAGCAACACGGAGCCCAGGAGGAATTTCTTGGACCACCAAAATTGCTGAAGAAAACGAAGGCTGTTGTCAGCCAGGTGGATCATATACGCTTTTTCAGAAGCCGGTAGCTATCCGCCCTCCGCTGATTACCCACTTCTGATCGTAGAAATGAGTGGTCAGTGACCCTATAGCCAGTCACTTCAAAGAAGAAAGTAGATACGCATGTAGGAATACCGATAACTAACTCCCAGTGTTCAAAAAGAAAACAAATAGACGAAGAAAATGCTACCTAAACTGATATATTAAGATCTGGAACAGCATCCCTATTGAAAAAAGAGCATACGAATGGCAACCGATGGCAGTTATAAACCGAAGGCAGTTATAAACTGACTGACGGTGAAACACGTCCGACCTACTTTCCTTCTTCACTCAGGAAAGTATACTTCACATACACATCATTTTGTCGCAACTCCTCATATTTGCTCTCAATTCAGCCATGCCTGACTTAGAGTCATACCAAAATGTGTGAGCTGAGAAGAAAACGCTGACTGAATCAATCTAAGCTCATTCACTTTTACTGGGTTACGCCTCGGTTGTTGCTCTTATGCAAACTTGTCCGGCATCAGAGATAAGCTAACCGATTCTGCTTACTACATCTCCATCCCAATTTGCAATATTTGTTCATTTTCTCCTTTTATTCGCAAACGCCTAGTGTGTACAGTCAAAACCAAACGCCTGAACCGTCTGACCAAAATACTAACCACGTCTGTCTCCCATAAATAAATAAATCGCCCCTTCTGTTTGTCACGGCCTATGTGAGCACAGCTGCTGAACTGAAAATAAATAAATACCTTCATCTTTTAGTACTTTTTTTAGAACGCCAAAATGTAAAGAAAAACATTTAGCCTACGTTAGATGCTGTTTTATACGTTTTATTGTTTTGCTCATCCACACACACCGTTGCTTTTCATCCATCACCCAATCATCATCTTTCATGCACTTTCTGACAAAAAGTGATGTCAGATGTATCCAGCTGAGTGTAGTTGATATGCACAGTCACACATATCCCCCAGAGGATGTAGCTCATATATCGATTCATGTCCAAATATTCTGAGCTACCCGGACTGATTATTCGGAAGCGTTCCATTGTTTGAACAGCAAGGCACCCTATTCCTTCCTAAAGGAGTGAGACTTGGTGACGTCGGTCTGAGGTGCCTTCAACTCTGATCATCGTTGCCTGTGGAGCATGGTTGGTGTCCGATGGAGCAATCATGCAGGCAAGTACTATCCAAATTAGTTTTTAGGATAACAAAGAATGTTCAGTAAGTTTTGCAGGCTGGGTCATCGCTGAGCGAGAAGCGCTTTGTTCTGTTTGCCGGATATGGGATGGCGCAAGGTTCTAGCATCGCAAAATTGATTTGTTAGCGGAAAATGGTAGCTGACGACAAAACTGGAATTCACGCGACCCATACAGTGCTTGGCTCGAGACTCCAGGAGACATTTCTCGCATGTAGCACCAGTCGCGCGCTTGCCGTCATCTTTCGATCGGAGTGCGTTTGGTGACTCGGGGCAGTAAAAACCGCAAGAAAGCTTTCTCGCTGATGCCGCGTTATCTCCGCGAGATAGCCAGCTGTTTATGATCAAATGCTGTTAACAAAGCGCCTTGATCCTGAATGTTTGCTTAGGGCCTTTAGATTGCACACCGATTATTCCGCACTCTCTAGATTATCGTAGTGGCAAGGCGGCGGAACATTAGTTTAAATTACAGATGTACTACTGTTGATGGTGGTTCCGACCCTAAAGTAAAATGTGTAGGTCCAGATAATTCAACGGAGTACAAGACAAATCATGAGTTCAGGTCTGAGAAAGGAGCAGTTACTCATTTCCCTCAGATAGTGCGATCGTAACTGAAGCGTTGTTTGAACCTGGGTTTCAGACAAAGTGAAGCAACGCTCAAATGCTTCTGAGGATAATATTCGAACCCGATACGCAACGATAGCCGATCGTCTATCGGAGGAAAGTGGATCGCTCGCCCGGTTCAGTAAAGCGTCCAGAATGTACGTGAAGAGGCTGGTGTTCACGAGAAGGAAATGGCACTCACCCTCTGACCATGTTTGGTCGGAGCAGGATATGAGAAGCACAAATGAGTCGAGGTAGAGTGATGAGAGCAGCAATCCTTTTGCATCGTGTTCGTCAAAACTGAGTTCGAGTGGAACGCAGCATCGAAGTCTGATCCGCCGGAGTCCAACCCGCTGGGCCTCACGGCGGCCAGAGTGCGCCGCTGTGCCCCAGCTCCTTTAGGCGATCCACTGAGTGAAGCATCGACACTGTTCAGATAGACACCGGATACGCAATAGCCCGAGGGGCGGGTGTGCGTCTCCTCCAAGCAACGATACCAATCAGATTGATTTTTCACTGGACAAGAGTTGACACGGGTGATGGAGTCGCCGAGGTAGAGACCATGGTTACCGGTGACCACAGAGTTCTAGAGGAGCGATAGAGAGAAAGATGAAAGTAAGCAGCTTGAGGATATGTGGCCCCGTGCATCATTATCGTCATACACATTAGCCATGGGTTGGAAACAGCTCAGATATTGCGCCCTTATTCATTTATCCTACACATTAGCTAGAAGTGAGAAATGTCTCAGCTATTGTGCCGCAATACCAAGCAGTAAAGCAGTAAGACAAAGTAATAAACAGTACAAAATATTAGACAAAATAAGTAATATTAGGCCTATGGATAATTACGCATCGATAGTAAGACCGTTGATTGAGGGGGAGACCAAGCGGAATCGAGGAGGACAAAGGGGCTCCCAACGTACGTCATCAAGGCCGGCTCTTCGACATGTCAGCTAGTGTATCCAAGCAAAGCTGTTCATGGTCCTACGGTCCCCAGACCGGCAGTAGGGAAACAGCAGCCCACACCAGGTACGAAGTGAGGGATTTCATTCTTCCTGACCATGTTATCGACTGGCCACCCCATCTCCTCTTCCATCCACACCCCGGCCCTTGAACAAAGTACGTCGCGGGAGTCGGTGTGCTGGTATGTACAATACGTGGCCCAGCCATCGGAGCCTGGTGTGTGATATAACGGTGCTGAGCTGTTCACTCGCTCTTCCTGCACCAAATACACGACGCCACACACGCACATTACTTACGCAGTGCTCCACCAGACATGAATTATGCTGCGAAGGCAGCAATGATCGAAGGTAACAAGTACCATCAAATCTGTCGACCTGATGGGTCAGCTTTCGAAACCGAAAAGGATGGTTGAACACGGCTGCATTGTAAACTCAGGGTGAGAGTGATGTCAAGTCGACACCACAGGTGGCGGAGATTGGCAAAAGTGCCTCGAGCTTTTGCTAAAAGGGTTATGTTGTCGTCTTCTATCCCAAGGGTGATAATATAGCTGCCCCTAACAAGAGTCAGCGCAGGAGTGGGTCCCTGCCAGTCTTGGAACAGTACTTTGCAATTCGTGGGTGCAAAGCATAGCCCGAAACGAATGATCCCCCAGAGCTAATTTATTCAGTACAACTTGGCACATAAGGAAACTGTTACAGATGAGCGTAATGCTGCCGACATACTCCAAGTTAAGAAGTCAGTCACCTGGGAGCAGCACCACACCCTCTAAGTCGTGCCCGGCGAACGCCATTTTCATGACATTGTCAATGGTGAAGTTAGACAAGAAATGTGATAGAAGGCAACCGTGTTTCACACAAACGCACACAGCGTTCTGATAATGTTTCCGTATTTCTCGGGTGCATTTTTCTTGAGCAGACAGTCCCAAAAAGCACATCGGTTCACTGAGTCGAAGGCACTTTTGATATCGAGGGACACGACTACGATGTGCCACCAATAAACATGGCCGTGTTCCAACAACTGACGTAAAGTGAAGATGTGGTCGATGCATCTCCAACCTACATGAAACCCAGGTTGCTCCTCACGAATCGGGCTTTCCTGTGTGCCAATCAATCTGTGAAGGATGACAGGCAATTAAATTGGAAGGGAGGGATATCAGAGTGATGCCTTCATGAGTACCACGTTCCGAAAGTGACAACCAAGCGTTGTTGTGCGCACTTGACGAATTGACAGGTGAGAAATCGCACGCGGTTGGTTCTGTAAGCACCGTGCCTAAAAGGAGAATTCATTTCATCGATTGTTACTTTGAGCAGACTATTTTGTGTGGTTCGAAATAGCATAGTCCTTAGGTTACACACAGTTATGGAAAACCGGAAGCAGTGAGATACGCAAAGACAACGTCAAGGATGTACGTCCATGAACCACTTCAGAATGTTGAATAGCGGTTTGCCAACTATCAGAGGGTTGAGAGGTCGACTGTGTTCGCTGCTGTAACTAAGTTGTACCGACTTAAGTGATACATCCTCAGTTGTCTGCTGGTTCCACTTGCGCTAGTTGTGTAGAGTTCGACAGAATCGGAAACGCGCCTGCAAGGTGTCATGGCAATCGTCTACACACTGTTCACTGAGACCTACCATTTATCTCTCGACTGCAATCAGCTAAAGGCAAGTGGGGTGCCCCACACTTACTACGGTAATGCGGTTAGTATAGACGTACGCACTGTTTGACATACAATAGGGCCGAAACAACGCGCACTCAAGTCAGTCCGCTTGATGGAACTCAAGCAGTGCGATGTATCCACTTCACTAGTTATGCAGTAGTTCACATGTAACTTAAGTTGTGTAGTCTCAATCAGCTAGTAGCTCAAGCTTTTGTGCACCGTTCGCACTGTGGGTGCTAGTGTTCTCAAATGTAAGGAACAACGTTCAGGGCTTTGTGCAAGTGTCCGTTATCGGATGCAGGAATTCAGCCCTTATCCACACCACTTGGTTTCTGCCTCAGCAGTGCCATGCATCACGTGCGTGCCTCCACCGTACCATTGCAGACCGCCGTGACTGATCGCAACGATTAACGATCGGACATACTGCGTGTATTGCTCACTTCACAACGACGGGAAGATGACTGAGAACCATGTGCAACGTGCTCAACCGCCGCCAGATCCAGAGGAGCCACTTGAGTCTCGCCACGTAGGTGGCAACTACACCATTTTATACGCATGTTAGCGCATTGTACCAAGCTTTTAGCGTGACACATTTTCGAAATCGCGTGCAGTGCTTTCAAGTTAACGAGGTTTTCTTCAGATAGGCATCAAAATAGAACAGAAGGTGGTGCTCGACAACTTTCATTGGACTGTCTATCGCTTATGCTGTGGGCTTCCAACCGGTGTCCCATTGGGTAACGTCCCATGACCAATGAGAGTGTCAACGACGGCAAAACAGCGTTCTTAGCCTTGCTAACTTGAAAGCACTGCATGCGATTTCGAAAATGTGTCACGCTAAAAGCTTGGTACAATGCGCTAACATGCGTGTAAAAGGGTATAGTTTGAAATCGCATAAGGAGGAACGTGCGTCGCAATGAGGTTGGACCTTAACGTGGTGAGATGGTTTGCGGGTCACAGTGATCCATTGAGCCGTGCTGGGTGGCACTTTTCACATCTTCGGAGTCACTCATACCAAATTGGTCAGTGGCTAGAGGCTAGACAAATTCAGTCTCTTGGCCTTCAAGGATGGGATTGGTGAGGGGCTCCTTACTTCGTAAAACGGATTCTCTGTAGCCCAGTGCTAAAACCCCGCTGTCTTGGGGTTAGGTATCTGAACCGGTGGCTTTGGTCGAAAACCCTAATCGTTCTCTTGTCTAGGCCTGGGCAACCTGACAGTATCCTGTCGATGCGATTCAATGAATCTTTCCGAAAACAATTTCGTGATGCTCCAGTCGTCGCAGAGGATAATCAACGACGCCTTATCTGTTGTATCAAGCGGGGTGGATAGGGGCTTGGATGCTGCTTCCCAAAGTTCTACACTTTTCCACCGTATTGTCTCGTTCCAACTTCACCCATATAACCTTGCTTTTAATTACCCAATTCTTGGTCCTCCCTCACCTTGCCATGACAGGCAATCGTCTTCTAGGTAAAACGCAAACGCAAACGCGGAGCGTCACTCCTACCACGTCGACAACCCCAGTTCGTCGGCTTCTATTAGGAATCCTCGATCCTCCCTCAGATTGTCACGCCTCAAGGTACGCACCTAAATACAGATCGGTCAACAGGCAGCATTCAGCCGAACATTAGAGACCCTCCCGATCTATATTTGCCGCATATCGGTAACCCGGCTACAAGACACGAGCTCTGTGCTCACTAGTAAATGCACTTCAGGTGACACTAGCAGAGCTTTCTCACTGGCTCTAACGCTGTGATGATGCGGCTTCGAGTGCCGGCCAAACCGGTGTTGGCATTGCCCTGAATAACCGGATCCCAATTAGTAGCCGGTTGTATGCCGTCCGACTAGCTGGCTCGTTCAAAACTTCGAAGACGTGCGGGGCTAATAGGTGCCTATTCGTAATAGCTGTTTACGACCCCATAAACTGTAGCCCTGTTTCGGTGAAAGACGGCTATAATTACTAACTAAACGAGCTCCTTCGTCACAAGAGAAGCAAGGATACTGTATTGTTGGCTGGGGATCTGAACGCTTAAGTTATAAAACTGTCCACTGACGATCTGCATCTGGGCTGCCAAGGCGGTGTGGGTACTTGAAAGAGTAACGGTAAGCGGTTACTTCATCTGTGAAGACGCTCGCTGATTTCTTGCGAGCACTAACTTCAGACACAACCGCCGGAGGGTGACTTGGCGCCCACCTACCTCGAACTAGCCTCGGACGCAAACCGATCACATTGAGATTAGTTACCGCTGGAGAGGCTGCGTCCAAAACTGTCGCTCGATTTGGAGCACATGTGTGGAAACCATGGACATTGTTGTGTTGTGTTTTATTTTACTGTTTCTGTACCTTCGTTTGAATCCCATGGTTTCTGATGGCATTATGTCTGTTAACAGACTTTTGCAAATATATATATATATATATATATATATATATATATATATATATATATATATACATGTGTGGACACTGACCATGCACTTGTATGTGCTGACCTGCAGATGCGTTTTAGCGGACGCTCACGACGATGCTGTGTGCGCATAGACACCTGCCCACCAGCGAAGCCAGATGTTATGGGCGTATCAAAGCACGCTGGCACTCAGGTTGAGTAAACGCTCAATGAACACAGCCGAAGGTCAGTGGCCGCATGCTCGCCGAACCAGATTAGCAGCAGATAAGTCTTTATGTGGCAAATCCAATAACTAACTTAGACATTGGATGTCCACGCAGTTTCCGGAACTTATCGATGTTCGCCGGCACATTCCAGCGGGAGGCAAATATAATGAGACATGCAAAGTCCTCAGGGTAAAACTCCATGCTAGCCTGAAGAGAGACCGCGAATCCTGATGGTCTCGTATCGCGTGGCCGCTGCCCGTGTTAATCATCGGAAAATATTCCATCGGATACGGGAAACGGGTAACAGGAGACTTGGTGTTGGTGACACGATATGTGCCTCATGCTGAGGTTGAATGTGCGTA